GGAGCTCATCCCGAGGCGTGTGTCACTAGTGCACCTTTGCATGTGTGCTCTGCTGCAGGGTGGAGACAGTGGGTCAGGGATGGACCTGCCCCCGGGAGACCCAGCCTCCGGAAGAGGTCCCTGCCGGGTGTTCTCACGGAGCTTGTCCCTGTGACGGCACTGGAGCCTGTTTGATTCCTTCCCAACTAGACTGGTGGCACGTGCTGTGGAAATAATAGCAGCTAACATTTTAGTGACTACTGAGTCTTTTCCCAGCACACTGACTACGTTAAATGCATTTTATTTAACTCGCACAAAAACCCTATGAGGTGGGTGCAGTTATTCCCACTTTGCAGTGGAGGAAACGGACCCTGAGCGGAACGAAGTCTTGGCCAGATGAGGTCACACAGCCAGCAGGGGCTGTGCTGCTGCTGGAACCAGAGCTGTCACCTCTGCAGTCAGCTCTGCTCTCCCCCTGGATGAATCTGCACCACTCATGAGCCTCTGCAACTGCAGGACTGGTCCCTGCTGGCCAGCTGACCTTGGAGAAGTGACTGATGAGTGTCAGTCGTTCTTATTGTTCAAGTGGAGGTAGTGATTACTGCGAGGATCACATGGATTAATGTGTATACAAGCATACTAGATGAATGATAAGAACTGTGCAGAGTGTGGTTATAATACTGGTATTTTTCACTTTTATTCTCCATGGCCTCTTACAAAATGTTCACATCTTAGGCATTCACTGTGCACCTTGCTTTTTAAACTTAACTCATATCTTACAGTCTTTTCATGTCAAAACGTAGCTTTCTTAGGTTTTGACATGAAAAAACAACCCTTCCTTTCTTGACAGCTGCCTAGTCTTCCAACGTGTAGATGTGTCATTTTATTAACCAGTCCCATGTTAACGGCATGTAGTTGTTTCCAGTCCTTTGCTATTATGTACATCGCAATAGTGGAAAACCTAGTATAGATGTCATTTTAAATGTGTTTGGGTGTCTCTGAGGGTAGGATTTGGAACTTTAGCTTCATGTGTGGGGCGGGAGGCAGGCCATTGTCTTTTGTAGGAGTTCCCCAAGTAATTCTGACAGAGGGCCTCACCATTGAGAAGCATTGCCTTGTTAATAAATGGGGAATTTCATTCAAATTTGGTGATGCAGTCATCCATTGTGCAGATACTTCTCAGGTGCCTGTTTGTGCCAGGCACTGGTTGAAGTGCAAAAGGCACAGGAGTGAGCAAAGCAGACAGAAGTCCCTGCCTCCGGGATTTTCGAGAAGTCCTCGCTAAGCAGGGGACACTCAAGTTTAGATGTGACAGCAGTGAGGGGGCCATGCAGATGTGGGGTTGGGGGAGCATTCTAGGCAGAGAGTACAGCCAGGGCGAAGGCCTGCAGGCAGATCCGGGCTGCTGAGTCCAGTGGCTGCAGTGGATTGAGCAGAGGGGAGAAGTGGGAGATGTCAGAGATGACAGGAGCCCAGAAGTGGAGACCCTTGTAGGTCATGGGAGAGGCTGGCAGGGAAGATGAAGAGAGTGATTAGCTGGTACTGGGGAGCATATTGAGCGTGCATTTAGAAATAAAGCAAAGTGCTTGCAGAAAAAAGGACTTTGAACTTAATGGAAAACATCCGTCAAGGTTGAGTTGGGCTCTGCCACTGGAGAGCGTCTTCTCATTGCCTTCCTAGTAGCAGCAGAAGGCAACATTTGGAACTGATCAAGTCTTTATTCTTGTGTACATCAAGCTGATGACTGGAGCTCTGCTTGTGAGCGTGAGTCAGAGAGCATTTGAGTTAAACTACGTAGGTCACGTGGGGCAAATTAACTTAACCAAAAATAACCCCAAAAACAGCATTTCTGGGAAATGCAAGTGAAGACAGCTTTCAGTGTAAACAAAGGAGCAAAGTAAAGATAAAGGCTTGGTTGGAAAAAGTGAACATTTCGAAAACTAAGAAGAAATGCTTTGGGGAAAAAATACCAAGGAAAACAAATACTTCTTTTCCAGTAGTTATAATGTTAAAGAGTTTTCTTTCATGTACTTCGATAGGCTAGCTCATAGGTTTTCCCTTTCTCTTTGTAGCTGTGGCAAACGGACCTGTGCCCTTTAGCTTTTCCTGGTAACCCATGGAAGGAGCTCCCTGTTCTCTCTAGGTTTCCTCTTGGTCCTTGTGGGAATTGACAAGATGATGGGTGCAGCCGAAAACCTGGACATGGGGCCATCAGTGGTTCTCAACCTGGCTGCAGTTAGAATCACCTAGGGAGCTTAACACACAAAACAAAAGAACACCACAGCCAGTGTCTCGGCCCCACTCCAGAAATTCTGATGTCATTGGGTACGTGGGACAGGGCATTGGCATGTGTTCTTCCAATGCCTTTGGGGGTTCTGTGTGCCGTCGAGGTTGAGAAACACCGTTTCAGTCCAACTCTCCGTATTTCACAAGCTGTGTTCTTCTGGCCACAGCATTAAACGTTGTGACTGTAATGCGTTCTCCTCCGCTCCTCCAAACCCCACCCTGCCACCAAAAGCTGAGTCGGGAGGTTGGTTGTCTGTTTGTGGCTGTTGGGGATGTTTTAGGGTAGGCAAGTGGTGTATGTGTGTCTCTGCTTGGGGCAGGAGCGGTTTGTCACTAGCCAGCAAAGTTGGTACTTCTGTTGTTGGTTGTCCAGACAACTCAGCCTCTCTCTTTTTAGGACCAAGACTTAGAATCACTTAGCAGGGTAGCTAAGAGAATATGAAGGTTCGTATAAGTCAGGCCAAATAGTATAGAATCTGCTGTGGTTATGTTTGTTATATCATTAAAAATGTTAACCTCTTGGGGCCAGCCCGGTGGCATAGTCGTTAAGTTTGTGCACTCTGCTTTGGCAGCCCGGGATTCACGGGTTCGGATGCCAGGCGCAGACCTGTGCACCACTCATCAAGCCATGCTGTGGCAGCATCCCATATACAAAATAGAGGAAGATGTGCACAGATGTTAGCTCAGGGCTAATCTTCCTCAGCAAAAAAGAGGAAGATTGGCAACGGATGTTAGCTCAGAGCCAGTCTTCCTCACCAAAAAAAAAAAAAAAAGTTAACCTCTTGAGTTGTTTCCCAAAGTAATATTTACTATTTGGAAAAGTCTTACTCTTTGAGTAATTACTTGTACCTGTGGTTCTATTATCTGATTTAATGGGAAAGAAGTTCATTTCTGGAATACACTGACTAGTGGATGATGAAAGAAACTTTGCCAAATCTAAGGGAAATAATCCAATTCAATTAAATTACAAATATAAGTAAAAATTTTAACTGTCTTGATAACATCTTGGTAATGTTATCAGAAGAATTGACTTTTTGGAGGAGTGGAGTACTGGATAGGTAGGATTTATTTCCTTGAGTTATATAAACTTCCAAGTTAACTAGACTTGTGGTGAGTTACTTTTCTTGCACGAGGTCTCCCGTGTGATATAGGACCTGTTAGTCCTGTGCGGTGCGTGCACAGCAAGACTTATGTGCACAAAGCAGGAAGGCCTTGCTGCTGCAGTGTCTTTGACAAAGGTGGAGTAGAGAGAGCTTGTTGTGTATGTGGCGTGTGGTCTTACTGCATTATCTGTCTGTAAATGATTGGATGTCGCTGTCTTTCTAATATGGAAGTGCTAGTTCAGCCCTGCAGGAGTGGCAGCCCTCTCCATCCTCGCCTTCTCTCTCTTTGCCTTAAAGGCCCCCTGGCCAGACCTTTATACAGCTGGTGATGGGATCTGTGCTCGCAGGGAACTTACAGGTTCTTTTGATCAACTCCCACCTACCATCCAGGTAGTGAAGTAAACTAATGAAAATGAAGGCCAGAGAGCTTAATGACATGTGTGTCTCAAGTCAGCTCCGAATCAGAATTGTGATCAAAAAGTCCTGCTCCTCTTTTTTCCCACACTTTTCCCCTTTATTGTGTGCATAGCATCATGTTTCTCCACCTTTGAAAACTCGCCTCTTTTGGTAAACTTTAAAATCTTAACTTTTCTCTACTATTCTTTGAAATTTTGACATACATTAAATTGTGACTCTGAAGAAGATAAAGCATTGGTCATTCTTATTTTTCTAAATCCTACAAGTCATAAATATATTTTGGCTCTTATATTTTCGAATACTGATGATTATTAAGGGGGAAAAAAGACAGTTGTTGCCCCCTCCCTACCCTGCCCAAGAAAATCTCCTCTCTCAGAGATCACTGCAGTGAAGTTTGCTGTATCCTTCTGGGCCCCTGTGTAGTTATGTACACACAAACACGTTCACTTTAAGCCAAGGAGCCATGCTTTATGACTTGTTTTTTAAACTTTGTATGTGTTGAAGAGCTTTCGTTGTCAGTACAGAGGACCCTGTCTCGTTCTTGTATGACCATATCATAGTCCATCAGTCCTTCAGTGAGTCGGGTCTCTATCGAGAGCTATTGGAGATATTTTCGTTTTTTATCATTACAAACACTGCTGCAGTGAGCATCCCTACACACACCTTTTTTATGTGTAAGTGCTTTGTAAGATGGATTCCTAGAAATGAAATTGTAATGTAATTTTAGAATGTGCTTTTGTGTAGTGTACCCCCAGATCCATTGTATTCTGTTCTTTACTGTTGTTTTTAGAGCATTTTATGATTTATTCAAGATTTATAGAAGGGCAGCTTTAAGTCCTGCTGTGTAGTTAATTTTATAGGGAACTATGTGATGAGAAAAAATAAAAAATAAGGTTTTGCCTCAGATATAGGTATATAATTCATGCCAACTTGACTGACATAGTTTCTGTCCAGTCAAGTGAACCACTGACACAAGACATAAACACCCCTGTTTGCTTAAGGTTATCTGGGATGTTTTTAAATTTCACTGGTGAGTAAGTTAGATGGTGAAATGTTTGTCTTTTGTAGGAAGTACTTATTATTACACTAGTAATACATGTTTTATAGAAAAATTTGAAACTGCAGTAAACATAAATGACTTTTAAATAACAATGAAAATCATTCCATATGAACTAAAAGGAAGAAAATAAGATGATTGTATTTTTGTCCCCTCAGGTCACTCCAAGAACCGAGACCCCCGTCAACAGTGTCAGTAATAGTTTGGAGAATGCACTGCACACATCAGCACATTCCACTGAGGAGTCGCTGCCCAAGAGGCCTGTAGGAAAACACTCCAAAGGTGAGTCTGTCTGTCCAAAGGTCAAAGGAAGGAAGATGCATAGAGTGTAGAAAGGACATCTTTGCAGTGATGCTTGGTTAAATACTTTCAGATCTTTCATAAACGCTGGTCTTAGTGAGGTATATTATTTTTATAAATTGTGCAAGCGATATGTGAACATATCTTGGCTGTAAAAATCAAATATTGATGTTTATTAAGGGGAAAAAAAATGAAAGTTGTTACACCCTCCTCCCTGCCCCACACCAAAATAAGTCTTATATTCTGGAGCACTGCTATCCTGTAGAACTTTCTATGAGATTGGAATGTTCTCTATCTGCACCTGGTCAACACCAGACACATGTGCCTTTTGAGCACTTGAAATGTTGCTCATGCAACTAAGGCCCTGAATTTTATTTTTATTTCATTCCAGTGGCAATTGCAATAGCTCAGTATGGAGAGTGGCTACCATATTGGACAGTGCAGCTCTGGAGATAACAGAGGGCGCGATTCAGACAAAGCCATGAGTCTCCTTGGTTCTCATATGTCTGACTTTGTGCAGCCATGCTGGGCAGTCACAGAACGGAGCTTATCGGGCAGTTGGTGAGCTGTGTGGAGGTGCGAGAGACTTTGCAGGAGGAGAGCGAGGGGATGTGAAGGACCAGGCGGGGTTGACAATGAACCCCAAGTCTCAGAGTTGTCACAGGGGCTAGGATGACTCTGACTTAGACCGCTGGCCATGAGGTCCTGGGGCACACGAGGCTGGTCCCTCGCTCAGACAGGCTGGCCTTTGTTTCTCTTTGTGTTTGTGTCTCTTCTGGAACTGAGCTGCGCCAAGGTTGGGAGCCACGCCCTGCTTGTCTGATGTATTTTCCCTCCTCTGTCTCCCTCGTATCTCAGGCACAGTGCTTTGTACCTCACAGATGCTTAACAAGTACTTCACTTTTAAAATAAAGCCCCATTCTGACAAAATCTTACAGAGCCAGCCATCACTGACTTAGGCCATAAGCTGGAAGTACCCATGTCCTAACGGCTGTACCCGTGTTTCTGTCTATGTAAGCAGGTTATGGTATTAAAACAGTGAACCCTCACAGCAACCCCGGGAGCGCATGGTCAGTTCATTGTATATTCTCTGCTGGAGGGAGTGTCACTGTGAAGACGCAGCAGGACCTCAACTTCCAGCACAGATGGTTGTCACTCAGTCATAGGGACTTTCTGCCCCTAAAACTGCTCTTGTCCTTTTTCTTCCTACATGTTATCCAGGAAGAAGTGCCTCCCAATGGAGTGTTGCTTCCTTTGTCCCAAGACCATCTGGCTGGGACCTGTGCCCTGCACCTCCTGGTCTGAAGGATGGCCTCTTCTTTACCATAGCACTTTTTCCTCAAGACACAGTGACCAAGACCCCTCATGCCTACTTTTTTAAATATAATTGCAGAATATATGGCTCTTCTCTCTGTCATTCTGTTGTCTGTATGCTTTGGTGCCCTGAGAGCCAGTGGGAGAGCCAGCTTCAGCATTAGCCATGGCAGACATAGCAGGAAGGCCCATCTGTAGCAGGACCACTACTGTCCGTTCTCAAACACCATAACACTGAACAACATAGTAAGCTAGACATCGTTAATTATCTACGTTGTTCTCTATTCGGCGGTCGTAGGTAATAGTTTCTTCTGTCCAGAAATTGGCAAGCAAATTAACTTGGTTTTATTAGTCACATTTCTTGTGATATCCCTGTTGAACCTTGGTGATGGCTCTTCACAAAGTCTCAAGTCACTCTAAGTGTTATTACTATAAAGTTTTCTTGCTATCTTTTCTGTGTCTCATGGGTGCTTTGGTTTTTCTCTGGAAGTCTTCAGTGATAACAATTGAACTCAGAGAGAGGACAGACTTTTACATTTCTTTTGTATAAAAGCTCAGGGAGGGGCCGGCCCCGTGGCTTAACGGTTAAGTGCGCGCGCTTTGCTACTGGCGGCCTGGGTTCGGATCCCGGGCGTGGACCGACGAACCACTTGTCCGGCCATGCTGAGGCCGCGTCCCACATACAGCAACTAGAAGGATGTGCAGCTATGACATACAACTATCTACGGAGGCTTTGGGGAGAAAGAAAAAAAGGAGGAGGATTAGCAATAGATGTTAGCTCAGAGCCGGTCTTCCTCAGCAAAAAGAGGAGGATTAGCACGGATGTTAGCTCAGGGCTGATCTTCCCCAAAAAAAAAAAAAAAAAGCTCAGAGAACAGTAGTAAGGACAGTCTGAACCCTGACTGCTCTGGTCAGGTGGTGTTCCAAGCTCATGACATATACTAACCCACATAACCTTCCTGAGAGCCCTGTGGGGCTCAGCTATACTCGTTTAATTCTAGTAACAATCCCATGAGGAAACTGTTACCCCATTTCACAGGTGGGAGATGGGAGTCACAGATAAGTGACATTCCTAAGGTAAACTGGGATTCCAGCCCAGAGCCAGTGCTCTTCACTGCTGTGTTGGACTGAAGAGAACAGAAGAGGGAAGTTGGGTGGCGGTGCTGGACAGTGCACACTAAGGAGTGGCAGCACTCTCTTGTGAAGAGTGTCAAGGGCAGCAGTCGAGAGAACCGTGCAGAAGCTCCTAGCATGGGAGCATGGACTGTGTATTCCTCTTGGGGCGTTGAATCACTCGGGAATGTCGTGCACGCTTTGGGAGAGCTCGGAGTTTTCGCCAGACCCTGTCCCTCATGGTTATTATCACTGAAACGTAGGGAACAGTCATAATGTACAAGGTGAGGCTGAAGTGACTTTTACTAATACTCTCAGTGAAAGAAATTCTGTAACTTTGTTCTCTTGACTTCAAGTAATTGTTTTTTAAAATTATCCTTTTGTGAGACAGTGCAAGAGAGTTTCATTAAACTTAATTGAATTGCAGAGCATTTAGCAGCAGTTCTGAAACTTTTTGGTCTCAAGACCGCTTTGCATTCTTAACAGTTAAGGATTTCAAAGATTCAGAGATTCAAACAGATTTTTTTTAACCTTAATAAATGCTGTTTGTTGTGTGCCACTGAGGTTTTTGTGTTTGTCATGCAGTATTATTATGATGAAAGATAACTTAAACATTGAACCCCCAAAACTGTGTGCTTTCTGTAGAACAAAAGCCAAAGAATTAGAATATGAATTCTAATAAGAGAAGAATTATAATAAAACCTAAATTCTAAAAGACCAGTAGTATATTACCTTTCTTGGTTTGCACTGGGGATTCTAATTTGCATTTGGAATTGAGAAGCCTTGATAGTTTTAATTTGTGTGTTGGCTCTTTATTCATCATTTTATTATGAAGACTTTAAAAGATACAGTAAAGTTCAAAGAATTTTACGGCGAATACCTACCACCTAGATTCCACATTTCATTTTACGTCACTTGCTTCTTCCCTTATCCGCCCATCTCTCCATCCATCAAGACACTGCATTTTTTGATGCATTTCAAAGTAAGTTGTTCTTTTGGCTTTTTTGCTGTACTTTCATGCATTGTTATTACTTTTTAAAAACTGGTTGCTTGCAGCCTTCCTCAGCCAAGGATTCTCATTTGAACCACAGATCGTAGCATTATTTGAGTGACTATTTTCTGAATTCTCCTAAAGAGAATGTGGTTAGAGACATACGAGAGGAGTTGATTCATCCCACGATGGCTTCTTTGGGACAATAGGGCTTACTTCTCCCTCTGGACCCCTGTTGAGAGAAGCTGCAGAGATTGCAATGTACATCGTTAACTTTTCAGGCTTTACTTCAAGGTAATATTGAACCACTTCATGTAAAATATAAGAATCTTACAACTGTGTTGGTCAATGGTGTGCTGAAGCCAGCTCATGCTGGCCCATGAGAGCAGTTGTTAAAGTTCAGGAATGTCACGTTGATAGCTTGAAATCAGCCGTGGTAGAAGTATTTACACCTTGGAAGTCAGTAAAGACTACAAATTAGGGACTGCCCTGTCAGCCAGTTGTTAAACACAGCCCGGGGCACCACTGGTGTGGTTCTTCCTCACCTGCCCTTTATGGCCATGTGTACTAGCTACATGGACATATGTACGTACAGCCCACAGCTCAGCTCCAGGAAGAGGAGGTGGGTTGTCCGTGACCCTTAGCCACTGCACCCTGACTTCAGCACTCCTTCTCTCTGAAACTGCTCTCATTGAAGGTCACAAATGACTCCTTGGCTGACAGATCGGCCCATATTGTCTTTACTTGGCATTTGTGATCACCCCACCCCAAACTCTGTCCTCCCTTGCTTTCTTCCCGTTTGTAAACTGTGGAACATCACACCTACAGCAGCGTTGGTGTGGCATGCTCTGTTGGTCTCTTGGTAACACACTTGCCTGGTTTCCTCTCGCCTTCCTGTCTAATTCTTTTTCCTTTGAGATTCCCTCTGCCCCGTCAGCATTACTGCTCTCTCGGCTCTTTTCTGTCCCACACCTGACACTCTGAGCCCATGCTGGAGCCACCCTTGATCTGGTGATGACTTTCAGATTTGTGAGTGCACCTGAGACCTTTCTCCTGGACCCCAAATCCCTGTGAACCTGCTGGTCATCAAATATTTCCACCTAGATGGCCCGCTGGTACATCAGTCACTGTGCCTAGAATGGACCCAGTACTTTCATGGCCGCCCCTAAAATGGCTTTCCACTATTCATGATTGATACCAACATTCAGGCACTTGAAGCAAGACCTGGAAGTCCATGATACAGCTCTCTGTCCCACAAGGGGGTCTCAGCCCTCAGCCCTAGCAGATCTGCGTCATGGTTTCTTTATGTCACCACGGCCACCATCCTGGTTCAGGCCTCCATCTTCTCTGCTGCCTGTGGGTTCTCATCTCTGGTCTGTCCTCCAGGTGGGGATCCATCGAGGATGCTGGATCACGCTCCCCTACTTAGGAAGCTGGTCAGCAGCACTTATGGCCGCATCTGATGTCCTACAGCCGTGACCACCACCAGGTGCCCTTGCAGCGCATGTCCACCTGATTGATGCCACTGTCCTATGAAGTGGGAACTATTCTTCCTTTTGTTTAG